TGAGAGTATACACTCTCAACGGCGGAGAGGGATTCCTTTCCGCCGCTGAGAGTCGAGTCCGGCGCTGACTCCCAACCTCCCAGGGGGTTTTTGAAGATCGACTCCCAAAAACCCCCGGGGTCTTTTCATTGTTTTATCTTTTAATTGCATTTTTTCTAGGGAGGACCGACTCCCAGACCTGTTGAACGTGTGTGTAGAACAACTCCCATCTCCGGGGGTGGACGGCCTGCGGACCGTCCGCAGGGGTCTTAGCGACATCCCAAATATTTGGGAGTCGGAACTCCAATATTTGGGAGTCGTTTAACTAAGACCCTTTTCAAAAATGCATTCCTTTAGCATTGTCAAATAACACCATCAAAATCAATCTAGCTGTTAATTAATTTGAAAAGCTTAACTTCCTCTAAATTTTTCCATAAAAGCAAAAAAAGTACAATTAATTCATTTTATACGGCTCAAATTTGTCTCATTAAGAATCACAAAAACTTGAGTGTAATTTATTATCATCCAAGATGAGCTTAACCAAAATTATCAGGAACTGACCCTCTACCGCCTCCTGCTCCTTTTTTCCTTTGCCTTTTGCAAGCTTAGGGTGTCCCTAACTCAACACAATTCCTCCCTGGTGGAAGGCTTGCTGTGTAGCATTGGTACTGGGTGCAAAGGATCAAATTAATATCTAAGCAGGAGAAGAAAGTGTAGCTTTTCTGGGGAAGTTCTGATTTTTTTCAATAGATTATCTTCCAGCTACCATCACAGGCTGTCTAGCTGTTTTATGAATCCTCAGTATTTTCCCTGCATTTTGGCCAACTCAGATTGACTTCATCACTTGCCTGGTATTATGCCCTGCTTGTCGGGAGGAGATCTTGGAGATGTGGGATTAAACACAGCTCTTGAGAAGGAGGCCCTCCCAATGCAGTACAGTCTCATGTTGGATTACACATGATCTGACATAAGACTATTCCACACCCTCAAGATGAGCTGGTTTGAAACCCAGCCTTTTGGGAGGAGCTGGGATTAAGCCCAGCTTGTTGGGAGGAGCTCCTGTCGAGCTGGGGTTAAACCCAGCTCCTGGCAAGCTGAGATTAAACCCAGCTTGTTGGGAGGAGATCCTGGCGAGCTGAGATTAAACCCAGCTGGCTGGGAGGAGATCCTGGCGAGCTGAGATTAAACCCAGCTGGCTGGGAGGAGATCCTGGCGAGCTGAGATTAAACCCAGCTCGTCGGGAAGAGCTCCTGGCAAGCAGGGATTAAAACCAGCTCCTGGCGAGCTGGGATTGAACCCAGCTCATCGGGAGGAGCTCCTGGCGAGCTGGGATTAAACCCAGCTCATCGGGAGGAGCTCCTGGCAAAGCTGGGATTAAACCCAGCTCGTCAGGAGGAGCTCCTGGCGAGCTGGGATTAAACCCAGCTCGTCAGGAGGAGCTCCTGGCGAGCTGGGATTAAACCCAGCTTGTCGGGAGGAGCTCCTGGCAAAGCTGGGATTAAACCCAGCTCATCGGGAGGAGCTCCTGGCAAAGCTGGGATTAAACCCAGCTCGTCAGGAGGAGCTCCTGGCGAGCTGGGATTAAACCCAGCTTGTCGGGAGGAGCTCCAGGCGAGCTGGTATTAAATCCAGCTCGTCGGGAGGAGCTCCAGAAACCCAGCTCGTTCGAGGAGGGTCCTGGCGAGCTGGGATTAACCCAGGCTTGTGGGGAGAGCTCCCTGGCGAGCTGGGATAAACCCCAGCTCGTTCGGAGGCACTCCTGGCGAGCTGGGATTAAACCCAGCTCGTTGGGAGGAGCTCCTGGCGAGCTGGGATTAAACCCAGCTCGTCGGGAGGAGCTCCTGGCGAGCTGGGATTAAACCCAGCTCGTCGGGAGGAGCTTTTGGCGAGCTGGGTTTAATCCTAGCTCGCCAGGAGGGTGCGGCGTAGTCTCATGTCGGATTACGCGTAATCCGATATGAGACTGTGCCGCGTCGGGAGGGCCTCCTTCCAAGAAGCTGGGTTTTAACCCTCCTTGCCAAGGAGGGTGCGGCGTAGTCTCATTTCGGATTACGTGTAATCCGACATGAGACCTCATCAGACTGTGCCAAGCTGGGAGGGCCTCCTTCTGACAAGCTGGGTTTAAAACCCAGCTTGCCAGGATCTCCTCCCAAAAAGCTGGGTTGAAACCCAACCGCATTGACCCCAATGTGCACGGTCCCTGCCCATCTACACCACAAAGGACTTTGAGAGGATAAGTGACGCGCACTCTCCACTTCACAAAGATCCCTCAGCTAGTTGGGCAGCCATCATCCTCACTAGCCGCGCCAAAAATACTTTTGTTTTCTTTTCATACCAGGCTTAGTATCCTGAAGACACCAATTTATAACTACCAGGACACCCTGAAGAGTTCTCCATAGCATACCACTTGGTAGATAGACCCGGAAGAACTTTCCATAGCATACCAGGTGGTAGATAGCCTGAAGATTTCAGATTATAGTCGTTATTCTTCATCCTTAAAATTTAAAGCCTCTGGAATATTCATTCTGAAATGAGTGCTGACATCCAGGGAATCATCTTGAAATTCTGGTTTTTCTTTACATCTGATTCATAAAAGAACTAAACGTGTGGGGGACAACCATGTGTCAACCACACCCCATCTGATCAAAAGCCCTTGTAGATGATTTTAGAAAGAGAAATCATAAATTTAAGATTTTCTTAACTTTTTCTGGGAATTTCTAATCATATTTCTGCAGTGGCTACAAACCCAAAAAGAAGAGCTTCACCAGATTTGATTTTGATTCAAATCGACAAAAAAAACCCGCTGATGCCATCAAGATTATATTGTGTAGACAACAGGGAATTTCAAAGGAGATTGACAATCTTTTCTGGGAAACTAGCAAATCATTCCGGGCAAAACCTTGTGACTTTATTGTGAGGCTCTTTTTCTTTCATGATCCTATCAGTGATTTTTATGAAAAAATACAAGTCTTCCATGGTGATTCAGGTGAGACAGGCAGTCACTGGAAAGCCAGTGCCCTGAAATTTCCCCTGGTGCACTGGCCCCATCCCCCGATGGGGGTTAGGGGGTAGGTTTTTGGGGGTTTGGGTGTAGGGGGGTTCGGGGTTTAGGGGGTTAGGGTTCACCCCCCGAAGAGGTGCTGTACCCGGACAGGTTCGAGCGGAGTTGTTCATCTGTCTGGGTATTGTGGGGCCATCGGGGACCTGGCGTAGTAGTCGGGAATCCAATGGCCCCTGCTTCAATGGGGGGTTAGGGGTTAGGGGTTAGGGTTAGGGGTTAGGGGTTAGGGGTTAGGGGTTAGGGTTTAGGGTTAGGATTTAGGGTTAGGGTTTAGGGTTTAGGTTTAGGGTTTAGGTTTAGGGTTTAGGGTTTAGGTTTAGGGTTTAGGTTTAGGGTTTAGGTTAGGGTTTAGGGTTAGGGTTTAGGGTTAGGGTTTAGGGTTAGGGTTTAGGTTTAGGGTTTAGGTTTAGGGTTTAGGTTTAGGGTTAGGGAGGTTAGGGCTGTTTTTTTATAAAAATTGGGCAAAAAGTGTTTTTACTGTTTCTTTTACCCAGCTCACCCATCTCACCCAGCTCACCTTGAAATACGGTTCCAAACCAAGGATGCTACCACATTCATCTTCGGTTTGGGACCGAGGAATACAGGAGACAAAACTCTACCTGGCTCCACAGAGAACTAATCCCCTATCTCCATGAGCCAGGTAAGCCTTTTCCTTCTCATTTTTCCTTTCATCATTTTCTTCTCATATATAGGATTGTATGTACAGAGAACTGACCCCCTATCTTTCTGAGCCAGGAAATACAACCCACCCTGTTTGGTATTAGAATCTGCATCAGCCGTTCCCGTGCCTTTTCCTCTCATCCAGTGAAGGACTATCTCAGTCCTTACACGCCAACTGGAAGAAACCCTTCCAGCCGGCAAGGTACATGTACCTTGTCAACTGTAAGGAAACCCTTTCAGCTGGCAAGGTCGTACCTTGCCAATCATTTAAAGGGCGGGTATCCAAAGATACCTGCTTGGATACCACTAAGGCGGGGGGATACCTGCCAGCTGCTGCGGATGGCAATTTCCCTGGAAAAGCAGCCAAATATCTGGATGCGCTGGGGCCATCTCTATTCCAGGCATAATGGCCCAACTCCCACTTTTTTCAAGACGAAGAATTGGGAGTTGGACCATTATAATTTTCTCAGTTTTCTCAGTTGGAAGTGATTATCAGATTGGTGTAAGACCAGCCCCCACCAGTCAACTGCCAGGCGCCTGGAGCCCCAGAGAGGCCTTGGCAGCAGATTTACAACCTTTGCAGTCATTTTTAGAGGTTGTGAGGCACAAAAAAAATTGGGACCCCAGGGGCTTGCAAGTGCAAGTCTAAAAAGACCAAATTTTCACTCTTCTGGATGCTACTCCACAAAGTTTATGCCAGCGGTGACATCATCACCTGTGTCACTCCAATCCTTCCATTCCAAATGGAGGAAAAATGTTCACATCCTCCATTTGGAATGGAAAAATGGGTGGAGCTGGATGTTCCCAGCTCCACCCAGCTCTCCCAGCTCCTTTTTCCAGCTCAGGGAGTTGGATTGCAAGGGCTGACTTCCCGCAGCCCAGCCATTTTGTCTGTTGGCATAAGTGCACCCCCACAACCTCAGCCCTTGGGCTGAGGTTGGGGGTTCCATTCCCACCCTGGCTAGTGGTTAGGGGGGTTAGGCGGTTAGCGGGTAAGGTTTAGGGGTTAGGTTTAGGGTTAGGTTTAGGGGTTAGGTTTAGGGTTTAGCTTTAGGGTTAGGTTTAGGGTTTAGGTTTAGGGGTTAGTTTAGGGGTTAGGTTTAGGGGTTAGGGTTTTAGGGTTAGGGTTAGGGCTAGGGGTTAGGTTTTAGGGTTAGGGTTAGGGGTAAGGGGTTAGGTTTAGGCTAGGTTAGGGTAGG